ACTTGTTCGCATTCGCATCTGTAGACGTCCTGTCCGAGTAGACCCAGACCCCCGCTTCCGCACGAGACCACCATGGCCGAGGCTGCCCCCGCTCCTGTCGAGATCAACGACGCCTACTTCTGCCAGCATTTCAAGGAAGTGGTGAGTGACCGGGCCGCCGCATATATGCGCCTGAACAGACATGGCTAAAGCCGTCGGTGTTTTCCCAGTGCGCGGAGTGCTCGTACGACGGCCGGGAGGAGAACGATACCTTCTTCGGGGTACGTCACTCGCATGTGGTCTTACCCCCGTCCGCGCTCTGAGCCCGGAGCGTTCCAGTTTGACCCGATCGACCGCGAGGGGATCGAGGCGCCGTCGGCGAGCGTGAACAAGGAGGGCGTGTACCAGTGCAAGAAGCATGGTTCCCCGTGTACGTCTGCATGTTCAGCTCGGCGCGCGTGCGGGGTGTGGGCAAGACTGACCTGGGATGGCGTGCGGCGACGGACAGCGTGCAACCAGTGCTTCGGGTGGAAGAAGCAGATCACTCGCGCGCGCACGGCCGCGAAGAAGGCGGGCAAGAAGTCTTCATAAGCCACAGTGCATCAGTGCAAGCAGCGTCGCGCCATCCGGGCGGCAGGAACAGGACGGATCCCAGACCTGGAAAGGAACTCTGTATGATACGCGTTGTGTACGATGAGCGCCGCTGTCTGTGTAACATGACGATACCGAGAGCACCCCAAGAATAGCATTGCATCCAGATCCACAACCCAAGCCCAAGCTGACAAGACAGTGACTCAGACTCTTAGGGAATGCAGGGCTCGGCCGACGACCAAGCCGCCAACGCTAAATGTGCTCCCATCAGTAGCCAGAGCGCAGCTTGTCCCGGAACAAGGGAGACTTGTACTAGGCGACGCATAGAGTGGTGTTTCGCCGGAAATGGTGTCGTCCACGAGAACAGTAGCGAGGTGCAGTCTCAGGCAGAGAGCCAACGCGGTCCACAGCGTATGCAATTTTGCGGTCATGCCCATCCGTTATCGGCCACATCACCTCTAAATGACCGCCCTCCGTCGAGCAGCCGACGAGAGGAGCACACGGACGGGCGCAGCGGCGGGCCAATGCGGCCAGGGAGAATGTAATGTGCCGTCGAGAGGACGAGGGAGGATCCGGACGTGGGCGCACGGCGCAGACATCGAGGCTCCGAGCGAGGTGGGCGTCGGGAGCGGCATTTGTCAGCCGCTCGCCGTTTTCTCGTGGGCTTGTCGTCGATTCCGTCATGCTGCCGCAACCGTTTCCTGCGCTCAAAGCCAGCCTCAGCCGCCTGCTCGCGCCCGCCTCTTTCCTATAAAACCTGCCCGCCGCGAGCTGTACAGGTCTGCCACCATCATCTCCTCCGTCGCGCACACCATCCGGCACAGGCTCGCGCCATCCGTATCCGTCCATATACAGCCATGACGCCAGCCGTACTCAGCACGGACCCTTCCTCCTCCAACGGCCATGTGAATGGCCTGAATGGCATCCACCATTCCAAGAAGGCGTCCCTCGATGGCTTCGGGACTCGCGCCATCCACGCCGGCTCCGAGGCCAACGAGGAGACCGGCGCGGTCATCCCGCCCATCTCCCTCAGCACCACATACAAGCAGCACGGCATCGGGAACCACAAGGTTTGTCCTGGCTCCCTGTGGAAAATCGTCCTGACATTTTTCTTACTCTTGCGCAACCTCTGCAGGGCTTCGAGTACTCGCGCTCGGGCAACCCCAATCGCAACGCGTTCGAGACGACGCTCGCCGCGCTCGAGTCGGGCGGCGCGTACGCCCTCGCGTTCGCATCCGGCTCCGCGACCACCGCGACTGTGCTGCAGTCGCTGGGCCCCGATGCGCACATTATCAGCGTGAACGACGTGTACGGCGGCACGTTCCGCTATATGAAGCGCGTCGCGACCGAAAACCAGGGTCTTGAGACGACGTTCCTCGACCTTGAGAATGCGGACGATGACACGATCCGCGCCGCGTTCAGGCCAAATACCAAGGTCTGCCGTGATCCACCATCGTGAAATCTGGTCCTTGAAAGCTGACTTTGGGTCTTGCAGCTCATCTGGATAGAGTCCCCCACCAACCCTACGCTTCGTCTGATCGATATACCCCGCATCGTCGCCCTCGCTCGCGCAGCGCCCTCCGACCCGCTTGTGCTCGTCGACAACACCTTCCTCTCGCCCTTCTACTCCTCCCCCCTCCTCCAGGGCGCAGACGTCGTCATGCACAGCCTCACAAAATACGTCAACGGGCATTCGGACGTCGTCATGGGCGCGCTCGTCCTGCCCGCACACCGCGCCGCGTTCGCCGACAAGCTCCGCTTCCTCCAGAACGCGATCGGCTCCGTCCCGAGCGCGTACGACTGCTGGCTCGCGCAGCGCGGCGCGAAGACGCTGCACCTGCGCATGAAGGCGCACGGCACGAACGCGCTCGCCGTCGCGCGCGCGCTCCAGGCGTCCCCGCACGTGGACGAGGTCATCTACCCCGGGCTCGCGGCGCACCCGCGCAACGACCTCGCATACCGCTCGCTCGCGCCGCACGCGCGCGCGTTCGTCGACCGCTTCGTGCAGGAGCGCGGCGACGCCGCGGGCGGGTTCCCGTACGGCGGCATGATCTCGTTCCGCATCCGCGGCGGCGCGCGCGAGGCGGAGGCGTTCCTCACCGCGACGCGCCTCTTCACGCTCGCGGAGTCCCTGGGCGGTGTCGAGAGTCTGGCGGAGCACCCCGCGCAGATGACGCACGGGAGCATCCCCCCGGAGGAGCGTGCGCTTCTGGGAATTGGCGACAACCTCATCCGGCTGTCGGTCGGTGTCGAGGAGGAGGAGGACCTGGTCGCTGACGTCGAGCAGGCGCTGGAGGCGGCGGCAGCGGTGTCATCGACGCCCACGTCTTCGGCTTCGTCGTCGGTGTGATGCGACCGTATCTAGAGTGACGATCTAGACATGCTATCTGTAGGTACCAGCGTACTGTACATTATATTTAGTAGGATACTCTTGGTTGTACGAGTCATAGAGCGCTAGCATTCTTGGACACGATCCCAACTATATGGTCCGAAAGCATCCAGCCGTGCGCGTCCGAGCCGACTTCCAAGCACTTCTCAACCCAAGCCTATCGAGGCGCAAGCATCCGTTCAGCTTCAGCGTACACAGCTTGGGCAGAAGGAGATGATGTTCTCCATACCTCGAACTCCTCCCCCTGTAAGTCGTTGACGAGCCTGTCGAGTCCCCCGGCCAAGAGGCCCTCCGCGCCGACCATCCTCACATCGTCTTCGCCAGTGACCCGTTTCAGGACGAGAGGCATCTCCGAGGGCAGCTCGTGGTGCATCGCGTGGTACGCCCTCCCGCGCTCGTCGTGCCGGATGTACTCCCTACAGACCGCAGCGCGAACCCACCCGCTCAGCATCGACACGGCCGGGATAGGGAGACGCTGCCACGCACCCATCCTCTGCATGCTTCGCGTAGAACGCCCTCTTCCGCGCGAGGCGCGCCGGCTCGCGCGTCGCCACGTCCCGGTAGTGCGCCCACCGGCTCACCCACGCGCAGAACAGCGTCCCCCCGCCGCCTCCGCCCGTGCGCCCCGCAGCCCCCGCGCCCCCCTGGCCCCCCGCGGCAGCAGGGCGCACCATGCCCCACGCCTCGCGGACCGCGCGCTCGCGCAGCTCAGGGGCAGTGAGGTGGTACAGCGGGCCGAGGAGGAGCACCGCGTCGAACGTGCCGCGCTCGGCTCGGGGCAGGACGGACGAGAGCGCGGTCGCGTCGCCCTCGAGGATGCGCGTCGGGCGCTCGGCGGGGGGCGTGGACGCCGCGCGGGCGTGGGCGAGCGAGAGCAGGCCGGGGGAGATGTCGACGAGAGTTACGGCGTGCCCGCGCGCGGCGAGCGCGAATGCGTACGGGCCTGTGTGGGTTCGGAACGAGCACATTTAGCGAGTATTAGTGTAGGCAAGGGAGAAGGGAGAAGGGGGAGAAGGAGGAGGAGGGGGGTACTGAGGCGCTCACCTGTGCCGCCACCAATGTCGAGGATCTTGAGGTCGGTACGTCCGGGAGCGAGGCTGGCGAGGATCGTGCGGAGCGTCACCTCAAACTCCATGCGGTGCAGCCGCAGGCGGTCGTCCTCCAGACCCGGATTCTCGTCGTACCACCGCGCAGTGAGGGTATTCAGCTCTGCAGGAGTAGACATGTCGCACCAGGGTGTCCGACGTCTGCTTGCACGGGAGTGAAGCACTCTTCCAATGCCCTCCTTCAGGGCCTCTTATCCTGCAGAAAACAGCGCAGTACGGCATTGCGTCAACGCCCGGATGAGCGTCGCAGCTGCTCCGCGCTGCCGACGCATTCATACAGAATGCTCTTGCATGGGAACTTGAGCCAGGTGACGCGTGCTTGCGCACAGGGACCGCTGGCCAAAATGCCTCCGGCGCGCCGAGAAACAATGCGCTTTCGGATGGGTCGGAGCGATAAGCCGATGGCCATGCTGCAAGCTTTGGAACGTCCTTGTGCGAGCTCCTAGCCGGGGACGGCATGGATCCAGTTCGAATCGTAGGCTTTCGTTCCCATCAGCCAGCTGAGGCCTGAGGCTTGAGGGACGGTCCCGAGTCAAGGGAAGCGCGGCCGCCGTACTTGGGAGCCACGGCCTAGAACGTATGGTTGTGGGCTCTCCGGCTTGTGGTGCACGTCGTACGAACATATACACTCGGTGACTGGCAGTACTGGCAGCTCTCTGTTGCATTTGGGACTGGTGTCGTCCACGTAGGAAGAGAGAATCAGTGACTTGAATCGACTATAGCCACTCCCAGGCGCACTTAAACAATTAAGGCTGCGTCGGAATGTTTAGTGCCATCATGCTCTGTGAATACAAGAGCTCTTCCTCGAGTTTGTGCTGCTCATTGGTAGTGATGGATCGTCTGCCGGGCCAGTGCACGTGGCTTAGTGGTGTCAAGACAAGACGATTCCTGCCTGGAGTTGAGAAGACGGCCCAGAGGGAGGGACTGGAAAAATATGTCCCAGGGAGGATTCGAGCCTCCGTCTTCACGGAACTGTGTTACCACAACGTGATGATCTAACCACTAATCGACAAGGACCGGTAGTAAGGTCTTAAACTTGTCTTTATATTGAGCCAGAAACAGTTCAAGGAGGGGCCAAGGAGGAACGGGCAACGAGTCGTTAGAATGACAATTCAGACAAGTGGCATTAGCGACATTCCCGGAGTGCAGGTACATGCACATCGCTCATTCGCATGACAGACAGCTTCACATCGACGTACGCGTATAACACTACAAGGCAAGCAGTTTGCGTCCGGGCGGCCCCAGAGGTGAGTATGCCAATCGACTCGTCTTCACTGTCCAGTACACTCACTGCGTCACGGTGGACAAATCCTGTTTACGAGCATCAAAACATCTTGGTCAGTTGCCTTTTACGAAGTAACACTACGCACCTCTTGTGGGCGTTTGTCAGTAGGCGCAGGACAAGGATAATACGGATGACAGGCCAGATTGGTCAGCATCTCGGGCTGAACGAGCAACAGTGGTGCTGCAGTGTTGTCACGGGGTGGCATCACGTCGCGCGATCGCGAACAGGCCTTGTGGACGGGAGAACACACCGCTCGAGACTGAACGGATTGCCTGGAATGGAAAGACGCGTCCCTAACCGCGACAAACATAGGTCGGTGGCGGAGGACGCGTGAGAGGGCTTTCTACAATTCAGGACGATCGCGAGGCATGTCGCGAGTGTCCTCGCTGCCCGGCGGTGATCGACGCCTAAAAGCCGGGAGTCGTCGGCGCTGACGCTGGTGACCAAGCTGCGAAGAGAGCTGTCAGCGATTGTACGTTCGAATTTGTCGCAGCGGTCGAGAGGATGCGAGGTCAGATTTGCCAGGTCGAGGCGCTCGCGGCTGGCGGCTGCGCGGCGGTGGACGAGAGAATCGTTCCGGATTTGGCAAGAGGACGCAAGGGGCGTCAGGTATGCCCAAGATGGAATATGACGACAGGGCGGGTGCGATGGACGCGTCCGCAACCACACTCGCCACCGTGCGCCGCCGCACTTGGGCTGGTCGCAATGCGCAGCGCGAGGACGGGAGGTCGATAACGCGACCGAATGGAGGAACGCGCGCAAGAAAGGGGCCATCGCGGGGATAGGGAGAGTCGCGCGATGGGGAGGAGGCCCGGGTGGCTGGAGGGAGGAACGCGGAAGAACGCGCCCCTCCCCAATCGAGGGCAGAACGTCCCACGGCTTCTCAGACAACTCGTCCTTCACAGACGCTCGATCGATGTATAAAACCCGGCCGTCGTCGCTCTCCAGCCTCCTCGTCCGTCCTCTCCTCCCTTGAATGTGCTTCCCTGGAAAGCGCCTCAAGAACAACCACTCCGACGAACCCAAGCCCGCACCCGCACCCGCACCCGCACCTACCCCCGCAGCCGCAGCCGCAACCGCACCTGCTACTACCATGTCTTCCCCAAGGTCGCCATTGTCATCTACACCCTCTACGGCCACATCGCCAAGCGTACGCACCCCGTCTCCTCAGTGTCCGGTTCCCATGCTGATTGTCCGCATGCGCAGTCGCCGAGGCCGTGAAGGCCGGTATCACCGCCGCCGGTGGATCCGCAACGATCTACCAGTGAGTACACACGCGCGGGACATTCCCATACGCACGCTCATATCTTCTTTTTCTCCTCAGGATCGCCGAGACCCTCCCTGAGGAAGTGCTGAAGCAGCTGCACGCGCCGCCCAAGCCAGCGTACCCCATCCTTGCGCCCGCGGACCTCGCCCAGTTCGACGCGTTCATCTTCGGTATCCCGACCCGGTACGGCAACTTCCCCGGCCAGTGGAAGGCGTTCTGGGACGCCACCGGCGGCCTCTGGGCCAAGGGCGCGCTCGCGGGGAAGTACGCCTCAGTCTTCGTCTCTACCTCGTCCCCCGGCGGTGGCCAAGAGTCGACGGTGATCGCGTCCCTGTCGACGTTTGTCCACCACGGCATCAACTTCGTTCCCCTCGGCTACGCCAAGGCGTTCGGCCAGCTCACGAACGTTACCGAGGTCCGCGGTGGTGAGTATCCCTTACCTACACGTCCAAGGAGCGAGAAGGCCGCATATATGCGCCCGATCGTTCGCCTGCGTGTGCTTTTGTCCATTGGAACGTGAAATTGACGAATCATTTGCCCAGGCTCTCCTTGGGGCGCGGGTACCTTCGCGGGTGGTGATGGTTCGCGCCAGCCCTCGCCGCTCGAGCTCGAGATTGCCGAGATCCAGGGCAAGCACTTCTGGGAAACGGTCAGCAAGGTCAAGTTCTAATTATAGTCGCTGTTGTATCTCCACATTCCGCGGACGGTGGCGACCGTGAGCGAATGCGATAGACATGTACAATATCACGTATTCTCGGATGCCTTCTGGACCTGTCCGAGCGTGAGTGCAAGTAAGCTGTGTGTGTGTCCCTGACTGTTCGCACACGTCCGATGCAGACCTTCGGTGGGCATGTGAACATGGGGCCCTCGTTCGAATTTGATCAACGTGCGTTCGGTCGGGATCGCCTGCAGTTCCGAGGACAGAGCGGACTTGCAGACACCGCTCACAGCCTATCTGGGCGGCATCTTTGATGCAGGATGGTCAGCTGGTCTCGCGTAGAAGATACACCCTCCGCGCGCCATGGCGCCATGAATGCGAGAAGGGACGCCCAGAAGATTGAGAAGATCGAGAAGCCGAAGGTGAAGCGGTGTTGTCGTCGTTCGCCATAGGTCGTCACTTAGACGCGGGCAGGTCGGAGTCGGGTGTGCGAGTGGATGCGGCGTGCTCATCTTCCGATAACAAGCGGAAACAAGCAGTGGGGGAAGCGTGATGTTGGAGCGTGTATGTCGCCATCCTTACGACGACGAGTGCGCCTCGAACGATGAACGGGCGTTAGCAGACCGCCAGAACCGATGGTGGATAAGCCGCAGTCTCGCAACGCATGGCCTATGATGCCAGCCAAAACTCTCGCATGGGATCCTGGTTGTAGTGTCTGGGTCAGCTACAACCACTGTGCACATGGAGAGTGATCCGACGGGAATCCACGTACCAGTAGGTCGCCACCGCCAATGGACCAGGTCGTCGTCGGCCACACATTATCATTCATTGCCGAGGGCATGGGACTGTGTGCATTTCGCCCTTGTAGGAAAAAATCATTGACTATGGGCACTGCGCTAGGAGTACCTAGGGGAGCGAGAAACGTGGACGACAGCGACGCGTCGAAAGTTGAAGGCGCGATCAATGTCGCCGCCCGCCGCCACAGGCGCGCGCATCACGTGCGTGACGCGTCGCGCGTCGGCGTCAATGTTCGTTGTGGCGCATGCTCGTCCGCCACCGGTGGCGTCAACCGTTCGGACTTCATGGAAGGGCACGGTCGGGCAGCAGGGTAAAGATGGGGTTTAGGTAGCCCGGACGCAGTACGCGTGTGCGCGGCTAGAAATCAACGTGCACGAGGGATAGCCTCGGACGACATGCGGCAGCACGGCTCGACCTCGGTGGCGGACAGCCTGATAACCCGCCGCCGCGGAGCACTGGGTCCCGCTTTCCAGATGGACAGTTCTAAGAGAATAATCTGGCGTCTGTAGAGGGTCTAGGCGGTCAGAACAATAAGCCAGACGCGGCGGACGGAATCGCAAGGTGGCTAACCGGAGACGCGCGGCGGAGTGTGAATCGCGCAGGGCCACATATAAGGCTCTGCTCCGTCTCTCCCACCCCGCTCCCCCTCCCCTTGTCCTCTTCCACACGCCACCACCACCGTCTTCCCTCCCCTCATCGGCCTTCCGCTGCTATGTTCTGGTCGCTGGACCACGGGGCATGGTCGCCACCGCCCGCTTCTCTTGCTACCCTGCCCCGACGCCGACGCCACATCGTCCCGATCAAGCTCGCCACAGAGGCTGACAACGACGAGCCCGTGGGCATGCATTGGCCGCTCTTCCTGTTGGTGAGCCGCACTGCTCCGACGTTCCCCACTCCCCCTTGCTTGCCGCCGCAGACGACCCAGCACAAGATGCGACGCCACCCAACTTAGCCACACTGCGCGCTTAAGGTGGCGTTCACCAACATCTCCCAATCATACCCCGGGCGATGGTTGGCGAACGTCAGGCCATGTCAAAACATCTAGGCGCCGCGCCACCCATCCTCAACCGTCGTCGGCACCCTTCGCCGGCGGCGTGCAAGGCTTCCCCGACTGCGCCACTGCAGGTGGCCCGGGCGTAGACCAACGTTTGGGTGGCAAGACATCGTCAAGGCTTCTTGTGATGCCCGCGTCGACACCCACGACGTACCATATGGGATACAACACGCACTGAAGCCGCTGGGCACGTGCCTAACAATGGCGTCGTGACCTCGGAGGGGGAGACCGTCAGCGGGCTCTTGCCTCCGTACCGTCAGCAGGCATCAACCCCCGTACCGTCAGTGGACTCCAGCCTCCGTACCGTAGTCAGCAGGCTGGAGTCCCCGTACCGTCAGTGGGTGCCTCCGTACCGTCAGTAAGCTTGAGTCCCCGCACCGTCTACATCAATGCCCCCTCCCCTCAACGCCACAAATCTGCCACCGTTGTCTGGTGAAGATCGAATGAAGAATGCGCCGCACAACAATCCGAGGGGGCGACTGTCAGCGGGCTCTTGCCTCCGTACCGTCAGCAGGCATCGACCCCCGTACCGTCAGTGGACTCCAGCCTCCGTACCGTAGTCAGCAGGCTGGAGCCCCCGTACCGTCAGTGGGCGCCTCCGTACCGTTAGTAGGCTTAAGCCCCCGCATAGTCAACATCAATGCCTCCTCCCTTAACACGAAAGGGAGTCATGGGCGAAGGTCCAACAATCAATCAATGCAAATGGGACACACGCGCAGAGGGCACGCACATATATTGACCGTCGTCATTGACGCCAACGCCTACACCGGAGTGGCGAGTTGTCTTCGCAAGGAAGGACAACCCCGCATGTGTACTCGATAGCACAGGCGCTGAAGCTGCCGGAGCTAATGGACAAACGTGAAGGCATGACTTGCGATGTTGATGATCAGCTGGTGAGTGATCATCTCCTGTCAGTTTACTCACCTCTTTGGCCCCCTCCAATAATACAGGTATG